CCCCAAAACCCCAAAACCCCAAAACCCCAAAACCCCGAAGTTAGTTCAGAAGATTGAAATAATAATAAATACCAAACTCTCACAATGGAGCCCACGCCTGAACCTCTCCGCCCCCAAAGAGAACGACTGGTAAGTTACGCACTTAGACACAAACCTAAAGCCAGTAATTATAGTAGAGGATCAGCCACCTGGCTGTCACTAGGTGGTTTGGGAGAGGGCCGCTTGGGGCTTAAGGGAGGGAACAATTAGGGGGAAATTAATTGGTGAAATGATTTATATGGAAGTGGGGAATTTGAAATTTTATTTGGGATGGGTTCTTGTGATATGTGTAGGAATTATGGAGGATGAATTTTATTAGTGTGGAGGGGATGATTTATAGTGGTTAGTTATACTGTGTTTGTTGAGTTCTTCAAGTATTTTTTTCAATTTGAGGTCTCCTGCTATCTCCTTCAAGTTTAGTGCTTGGTCTTTTGATACTTTTCACAGCTTCTCTTTTCATTAAAATAATAATCTGTTCTACTGGAACCTGTATTAAGGAGTAAGTAGCAAGAAGGATGGTTTTGTATCCTATCTTCTCCAATTTTTTTTAAATTTGACCTGTGGCTTAGGCAGTTGTCCATTGTTAACACAAATCGCCTGCAATTTTTAAAATTTTATGTTTCTTATTTATTTTACGTCATATAGGTTGACAGAGTGATGTACTGTGGAGCTGCTATCGTCTTCTTCCATTTCGTTGTTGGCAGTATACTTGTCTGATGTTATGGATGCGATGTCCACAAAAAGCATACAGGGATTAGTGCAAAATTCCTAATTTTATTCACTTCAATCTTGCGCCTTTGCTGCTTAATTCCTTGTATCATTTTACTTCTATTGCTATTTAAGAAAGGATGCATATCTCTTCATCTCATCTGAGTTTTGAACCTTCTTTTGCTGCTTCTTTATCTGCCTTGGGCTATTTACCTTTCGATAAAATTTTTCTCTGATGACAATCACACCAGACGTGAAGCGAAATTTTTGTACGGAGCTCTTCTGTACCTGATGATTGAAGGGTTTGTACTAGTCTTGATATTTTTGATATTGATCGTGGTGTATATTGTTATCTTCCTCATTAACAAAAAGAATTCCCCCAAAAACGATATCTGTTGCGTATGCCATGAAGAACTCACTGACCATGTTAACTCTGTGGCCCATTTCCCATGCAATGAATCTCACTTCGGTCACAAAGAATGTGTGTCTAGATGGATTAGAGAAAAGAAAGCTTGCCCGATCTGTAATAGCCCAATTAATGAAGCTACCGAGAGGGTAGCTGTTGGATATAACACTTTCGAGGAACATTCCTTTAGTTCAGATAAAGGAAAAAGCGAACCAACTCCTGACCCAAATACAACAAGATCCCCTTTTATTGATGCTGGAAGAACTTCTTGGAGACAAGACCCTTAAGAAAGGCTCTAAATCTGGTCATTTCAATAAAAAACAACCACAAAGGGGTTTTGGGGTTTTGGGGTTTTGGGG